TAAAACACTATTCTGAATATTGAAGGTAGATTTTTATTAAAAAATAATAAAATTATTAGCTTTTAATATTAAAACATTATTCAGAATGTTAAAGGTGAATTTTTGTTAAAAAAACAACAAAATTATTTTTTTTTTTAACATTAAAATGTCATTTTAAATGTTGAAAGCAAAATATAATTATTTTATTTTATTTTTTTAACAATAAAATGCCATTCTGAATGTTAGAGACAGATTTTTGTTAAAAAAGCAATGATATATTATTATTTTTAACAATAAAATATTTTGAATGTCAAAGGTTAGTATTAAAAAATTTTTTAGATCTGTCAATTTAGATTTGGATTTAGATTTGGATTTATCAGATTTGAATTGAATCTGAATTTGAATTTGACTAATCTGTCAGATTCAGATTTAGATTTAGATTTATTAGATTCAGATTAAATCAGATTCAGATTTTTAGATTCAGATTTTATCAGATTTTGCTTAAATTTAATTTGATCTGATTTGCGTAAAACTTTATTTTTATCTTTACGTCGCTTATTATGCTTTTTTTAGATTTTATTAGATAAATGAGTTATCTCTGAAATCAATGTAATAGAGATTGTTTTTTCTAGAATATGAAGACTTTTCAATTTTCTTTAAAGTCTAATGAAATAGAATGTATCAGTAATAGAATTAGAGACTATTTTAGCTAACACTAGTCAAAATAATCCATTTTGTTACTTTTTTAAATGCTAAATATTGGCCAAAATATATTCGAATTTCTGCTGATCATTGTCAAAACAATCAGCATTTTTAGTTATAGCTGATGTTGCTCAATTAAGATGTCACACAAATAAACATTTGACATTAATGATTAATAGTAGTTTGATACGTTTGATATAATCAGCTTAAATTTGTTTAACTAATAAAACAAATAAAATTCGACCTAGTTAATAAAAAATCAGTAATATTTTGGCTATAAGTAATCAAAAAATCAATAAAATAAAATTTCCAATATTTAGATGATTTTATTAATATCTATTTTTGCATTTTAGACGATTTATTAATTTTATAATAACTAAGGTTGCTAGACGAAATCCAGAGTTTAGACAGACATTTAAATGATAAAGGAAAAACTTGGTTAAATTATATTAAAACCTTATTAAAAATCTGCGAAATTCAGAAAAGGTAAAACTATATTAAAGCTTATAAAAATGGTAAAACTATATCAAACACTTAGTAAAAATTTAGCAAAACTAAAGGTTTAAACGTTTAGCCAAACCCAAAATAAGTTTAGACAAGTAACCTTAATAATATATAATTTAATCGAATTAATAATAATTTGTTTATTAATTTAAAATTAAATATAAAATAAAATATAAATAAAATATAAATATAAAATATAATACAATTATAAATAAACAATAAACTAAAAATCAAAGATATTTCACTATAATTATAATTTGTCAAATTTATTCTTTTTCTTCAACTTAATCATCTTGATCCTCGATTTCAGTTCTGGATGCAAAAAAATCAGTACCTGCTGGAATGTTTTGATCTACAAATGTTTAGTCAGGAGTATTTTGAGGGTGAAGAATCATTATTGTAAATTGTCGCTATAATGTCAAGTTCTCGTCAATTATGCAGTTTGCAGTGAGAATGCATGATGGTTGAGCTCTCGCAACAATGCTTTTAACTAATAAAATTAAATATTGAAATTAGTTAAAAACTTAACTAAAATTATAAATAAATTTTTTAAAAAATTATCAAACTTTGTCTGATTTCCAGCTCAAATTATAAATGTTAATTGATTATTTTCCCTTCTCTTCTGAATTTGTCTCTGAATCTTTGGGGAAATGATAACGATTGTCCCCTAAGATTGACAATAATTATTTCTTATCATACTTCAAAATTCACTTATCACTCAAATTGAAAAGCGAATTAGCACCTTTGATTCTTCAGGCCTTTTTCTATATTAAAAATATCAAATGTTAATTGAAGTTGCTTTTTTTTTAAAAAAATAATTTTGATATTTACTTCACTGGGGTGACTGTTTTTGTGTAAATGCCAATTATTACAATCTAAAGTACTGTGTTGTTTATACAATAAATGAACTTGTTGATGCCTATGGAGGGCGTTAAGCCACTCCTTGACTTATTTGTATATCATTTTAAATCCTTTTAATACATCGATGAGATGCGGTATTACTTTTATATTATTTCAGTATTTTCTTCACTGTTGAACTTAAGATCATATCTCATTTCGAGATCGGTCAGCAGTGTCATTAAAATCATTTTCATTTCATTTTAAATTATAAAAAAAATAAAAGCTGAATTAAGTTAATTTGATTGATGTAGGTTATATTATATTAAAAATCAGTTAGAATTAAAGTTATTTTAATTAAAATTCAGAAAATTTAAAGAGTTTTTAAACGAACCCTTACCACTTTATTGTTATTATACACCTTTTCATTGCTTTTGTCTTCACTACTGTGTTGAGTTTACTTTTCTCGACAACCTTTATCTGTTTCTTTATCTCTACATCTTTGTTAGCTTCATCTGAGTTCATTTCGTAAACTCTTATTTTCATGAATAAGCACTTCATTATCTCCAGTAACTTTATCGAATTCCATCCTTAAATCTTTTAATTCATCATTTGCATTGCTGAGTTGCCTGCTCAACTCGTCGATTCTTCCATATAAATATGATTTTTCATAGAAAAGTTAACAATAAATTGATTAAAAAATATATATTGGCTAAATTTTTGCAATAAATTACTCTTACCTTCACTCAGCAAAGAATCAGTTATTCCAAAAGAAGCTTCTCTTTTTCTTGGTCGATAAGGAGTTACACTCCTTTTATCATGATCTAATCCTCGATATCTTGTGTAATAATATGAAGAATATTGAAACTCGTCACTTTGAGAAATGTCAAATTGTCGATGATAAGGAGTTATACTTCTTTTGCTACTCCTTTTGATGTGATGTCTTTCATTACCTATTTGCTGACATGTTAAAGACCTTTCAGGTATCCTAAGACAGGAAGCTGATAATTCCTGCAGATCCCAGTTATCAGCTTTTAAATGGCATCTCTAACCATACTGGCAGTTAAGGTTTCACTATGTTGATGTTTGTCTTTAATCCTGTAATTAAGTGAAATATCATAATCACCATCTGGTCGAGTTAGAGATTGAGATTGAGATCGAGTTTCTTTAGAAATACTTGATAGCACTATTAATTTGAATGGTTCTTCATTTGCTGGATCCTGCCAACATGAAAATTTTGATATTTTCTATTGACTTCAAAATATCAGAACCTGTCGACAAGTGTTTTTTGACTACTTATATTTAGTGCTAAAACTTATTGATATGGAATTTCTTAGCTACTAAAAGGTGTTGTTGTCAGAACCTGCTAACATATTTCTTGGCTACTCAAAGGTGTCAAAGTTGTACTCAAAATCTGCCAATGTGTTCCTTGCCTATTCGAAGGTATCAAAGTTGTTGTCAAAACCTGCCGATGTAGAATATCTGCCATTTCTTGGCTACTAGAAGTTTCTGTCACTCCTTCAGCTTCTTGTTGATGTGTCATTTTCTGGTAACGTAGTGGTTAATGACGTACTGTTGTAGCCTTTTTTTGACCAATATTTCTAGTCATATTTGCTACTAAATATTGAGAATGGAAGAAAACGATGTATGCGAAAGAAAAACAAAATATTGTTAGTGAAAATGATATATATGAAAGGAAAACAAAATATTATTTTTTGGTGAAAGATAAAATATTGTTTGTGAGAAAGTGAGAAAATTTTTTTGTCAAAAGAGATTTGAAATATTGTTTGTGAGAAAATATTAAAGAGTTTGATTAAAAATATTTGAGGGAAATGAATCTTTTTATAAGCTTTCAGTTAAATAGAGTTTATTTTAATAGTATAATACATTGCATGTAATTCATTTAACTTTTGACTTAATGTGATTAATTCTTTAAATTTCAATTATAATACGGCAATTGTTTTATGTTTTGATTTAATGCGGTAATTAAAGTATTCTTTAAAGTTTCAATACAGATATTCTTTTAAATTTCGTTTATAATGCAAGTATTCTTTTAAGTTTCAATTTAATATGATAATTGATTTAAATTTCGATTATTATGCGATAATTGTTTTATAATTCGTTATTTTTTAAATTTTGTTTATAATGCAAGTATTCTTTTAAGTTCAATTTAATGTGATAATAGTTTTAAATTTTGATTATAATATGATAATTCTTGAAAATTTTAATTACCATGTGATAATCATTTTAAGTTTCAATTATAATGCAGGTATTACTTAAATTTCAATTATCATGCGATAATTGTTTTAAGTTTTGATAATAATGTAGGTTGTCGATTATAATGCAAATATTAATACAAGTTTTATTTCACTGCAGTATCTATATTAATTGTTTCATTTGTATATATAAATCATTCATTGATATTGATAAAAAACATCAATTTCAAATTTTAAGATGACAAGAAATAGGTCTATTTCGAATATTATTAATAATAAGCCGACAAAACAACCATCTCTACCATCTGAGTCAACTCAAAAAAAATTAACAAAGTTTCTTGTTATTGTTATAAGTGTAATAGAAAATTAGTTTTAAATCAAACCAAACTTTTTCATGAATCAGTAAGTGGTTCATCAATGATTTGTGGTGGTTCAAGTGGCTTATCAACGATTTGTAGTGGCTCTGTCATCGAACAATTATATTCAAATTTTGACAAATTGATACTCGATACTGGATTACCTGCTGAAATCAAATCACAAGATTTGAGGAGCAAAATGATTGATGATAATTTACGAGTTTTAAGAATTGAAACGACTGATCGTTATCCAAAATTACCAAAATTTTCTTGAAGGCGTACAAGAAGATATAAAAGTCATCTGCAAGTTATTGACAATTTGAGTGACTCTGAGGATAAGCAACATACTGAGTCTTCTTTAAGCAAGAATAGTAAATATAATGAAAGATGACATATTGAATCTTCTATGAGTGAAAACGAAAGTATTTCTAATGATTTACTTATTTCTAAAACTTTTAAAGATCATTCTCTGCCAAAATATGAATCATATCAAGATGAAAAAGAGAAAGTAATGATTGATGATCAATTTGTATAGATTTATTATGGTTAATGAACTTTCGAATTAGGTTCAACATATTAGAGACTGCAACAGAGTTTCTTATAAAATTTATGAAATTAGTTCTAACTGAAATTGGTGGTGATAAGTTTAACAGATTTCCAAGTACTCTTTATTTAGCAAAGAAATCGCTTGGCCTCAAAGACCGATTTCATAGTTTCGTATCTTATACGAAATGGCATAAACTTTATAACAGAGATGAAATAGTAAACTTTCAACAGAATGATACTTTATCGATTATGAAATGCAATTATGTCAAATTTTTGAATTTATCAATTCACAGATTACGGCCTTATAATACACTATTGTCTATGTCATTAGGCTAATAAAATAAGTTTCGGTAACTTATTGGCTGACATATATGATAGACAAGTTTGGAAGACATTTAAAGAAAATGGGTTATGATCTAAGAAAATCAAGTTCTGAGAAATTTTTAATTAAAATTAATATCTTATTACATTTTAATCTAAATATAATAAAAATTAAAATGCAATTAAAATTCCAATTTTGATAAAAAATTCTCAAAACTTGATTTTCTTAGATTACAATCCAAATGGTTCAGAAATCTCACCAAAAATTTTTAGACCTGTTGTAGCCGATTTACATTTAGGCTTAATGTTGAATTTGGATTGATTTCAATCATTTGACAGAACAATCCATAGTACTGGAATATTATATGTCGCAATTTGTAATCTTTTAAGAAACATTCAATTCAAGCGTGAAAATTTACTAATTCTTGTAATTATGCCCAGCTCGAATGAAATGAGTTTATACAAAATAAATTATTATTTAGCACCAATTGTTGACGAATTAGAGTTACTTTGAAATAGTGTGACTCTAAATCAAACATATGAATGTTAAGAAGGAAGGAGAATTTATGTAGTATTAATTCTTGTTTCATGTGATATTCCCATAACAAGAAAAATTTGCAGTCATATTTTGGCATTAGTGTCATGTCATAGATGCGAAAAAAAGGCAAATTATGAAAATTGGCAACATAATTTGACTGGAATGAGTAACATAAACGAATGGTTTACTTCCTAGGATTTATCACAACATCAAGAGGATGCACTTAGCTGATAAAGGTGCAATTTGGACGCTGACAGAAAGCGATTTGTAAAACATACTGGTATTAGATGGTCTGAGTTACTTCATTTACCATACTTTGATCCAATTCGATTTTTAATGGTTGACCTAATACATTGTCTATTTTTAGGCATAGCAAAATGGATAATTAAACAAATTTGGGTCAATAAGAAGGTTTTAACTTTAGATACTCTTAAAAGTATTCAAAGGAATATGAATCAGATTTAAGTTCCAGCCAATTTGGGTAGAATTCTTTGAAAAATCGACTGCAGAGAAGGTTTTTCTAATTTCATAGCAAATCAATAGTGAACATTTTATACAATTTATGTAACTATATCACTTTGAGAACATCTATTAGTTATTTACTGAATGATTCTAATACATTTAGTTAGAGTTTATTCGATTTTAGTAGGTCAAATTCTGGAATTCGATTTGATATAAGAAGCTCACAAAAGGTTGATTAAAATAGTAAAACTTATTGAAAAATATTACGGCGTAATAAAATAATACTAAATCTTCACCTTTTGCTTCATTTACGAGAATGCTTATATGATTTCAGTCTATTATATATTTTCTGGTATTTCTCATTTGAGCATATGAATAAGATCCTTGGTAATTCTGTTTTTTGCCAATTTTTATAATGAAATGTGCTAATAAATAATGAAATATGTTAATATTGTTTAGGTTCATTACCGAATAGTCATAAACAAATTGAGCCAGAAATAATGTGCAAATTAATGTACAATAGTCATATTAGAGAAATCAGTAGTTCAGTAGATATTTGAACAAAAGGTTTAGATTTGCTTGATAATTAAACTGTTGTTAGTTCGTTATTAGAAGATGACAAATATTCATCTGATAAAATAGAGCAATTTTGGTCTAATTCAAAAAATATATGGGAATCAATTATTATTGGATGCGAACCATTTTCTGAAGAAATGTTAAGTCCTAAATTCGATGCAATATTGTCTAAGTCGATGCTTGATTTAATGGTCAAATACTACATGGCAACATATGAAACATATAATTTTAAAGTATCATTCGATGACAGTTCTAAAGATTTGATCATACTTAGTCATATTAAAATAAATAAATTTGGTTAGTATAGAATTGGTTTGGAGGTGTTTAACTCAGTCATAATCAGATTGACTATTATGCTGGTCAAATCCAGTATTTTTTAAGCATAGAATCGATTTTGAAGATAGACCAGCAGAACATAATTTAGCATTTATTCAGTGATATAAGCCAGCAAAAATATATAAAGTTTGATATTATTTAGTATTGATGATGATGAAAAAACTTGTAATGTTGAACTATGGAAAATGAAAATTTTTCCTGATGGTCATGACAGTATTATTCTAGTGCATAATATTCTTTGTCAATTTATACTAGTAAAATATAAAATTTCTACTTGTCTAAATGCCATTAAATATTTAGCCATAAATCTGATAAATCGTAAATTCCATATTCATTAACTTTTATTTATAATATAAATTTTTCATAATAAATCAAAACCTGATTAATATAATGCTGAATTATATACAATGTAACAAACAATAGTCAATTTATTATAATTTTCATGTCGAATTTTAAAGAATAACTGAAATTTTGCCATACTAATTATCTAAATGTTTGTCGAAAGGTCTTAATATAAAAATAATGCTAAATTATGTGTGGTGTAATAAATGACAGTAGATTTGTCATAATTTTTTTACCGAATTTTAAACTTGAGCTGAATATTTGCCAAATAGTATAACCAAATCAGTTGAATGTTTGCCGAATGGTATTAGTGCTGAAATAATACTAAATTATGTATAATGTAACAAATGACTATCGATTTTTGTAACTTAAGCTGAATTTTGCTAAATCACATGACCAAATCAGCTGAATGTTAACTGAATGGTATTAGTACTGAATGAAATAATTTTGACTAGTATAAGGTTTTTACTATAGCTTTTATTTCTTTTTCATTAAGACTATTGTATATAATTTATTGAGTTATCACTTTGACAGTTATTCTATCTGGAATAATATTAGATATTTGACATAGATTCACTTCTTTAGCTTCTGACCCTTCTTTTTTAGAAGTTACTTAACTTTTAGTTTAACCAGTTTTTTGTGAGAAGATTAATACAAATGTTTATTCTTTACTAAAGTTATATTTTTTTTAAAAATAATTATGAATTTAGTACATTTTTTTTTATCTGGTAAAAGCTTAAGTAATTTTGATGTATATTGACCAAATTTTTTAATACTCATTTTATTGATGAAATTATGCTCTTTAATATATTTAATTACAATAGCAGACATATTGTGATATATAGATTATAGGTGATAATTAAATTAATTCATTGTATTTAGATAATAATTTGCGAAAAAAATTCAATTCAAAAAAAAATATTCTGATAATTTACTATGCTGTGTGTTAGCTTTATTAACACCTATTTTTAATTTGTAAAAGTTACTAGCAGGCTGAAAAAGTAAAAAAGGAATAATATAATTTATGCTTTAGTCTAGAAAAGGTATTACATCAATTTGAAATTTGCAGAAAGGTAGGATAAGTAAATAAATACATAATCATAGAATTACTATTTCATGATTATGAATAAATTTAGAATCTAAAACTATTTTATAATCATATTTTAATAAAATGCTTATATTAGAGTTAATATATATTCTAGTCATTTGTTTTGATAAATGCATCATATAAAGCAATTAGTCTTTGTTTAAAGTAGTTAAATCTGGGTGATAGAAATTTTTGAGTATGTTATTTCTCCAAGCTTTTGTCTCTTTACACTTTTAGGTTATTTTTATTAATATAGACAAGTTATTATTAGAATTATTCATTTGTATTAGATTCTAAAGTGAGAGATATTTATTTTTTTTAAGATTAAATAAACTTATTTCTCTTTCTATAATGGATTCTATACTAATGATAAATTTTTTGTGAATATCTGTTCTACTTACTAAAATAGATAAAGGTAGAATTAGAAATGAATAACAAAAATTAGCTAAGAAATTTAATTTGAATTCATTAGCATATATAATTCTAGTATTTTTTAAATAATCTGAAGTTTATTAGTATATTTATAGCTTTTGCTAATTAACTTTTGATTTGAGTCAATTCATTGGCTGGTTTATTATATTGAGCATTTCTTTTTGCATTATATTTATAATGTAATTAAGTTCAAATATTTATATCTTATCTTAATAATGAATAATTTAAATATATATTTTATTATAAAGCAAGAAATTGGATAAATTTAGAAAAAAAAGAAAAAAAATGATTGATTTACTTTAATTTGTAAAATAAGAAATTGGCTAAATTTGAAAAATGAGAAAGGAAATGATTTAATTTACTTTGATTTGCAAAATAAGAAATTGGCTAAATTTGAAAAAATGAGAAAGAAAATTAATAAAATCATTGAATTATATAGTAATTGTCATAATGTATAGCATACATATACATTGTTACCTAACTATTAATTAGGCGGACTGAAACACGTAATCAATTGAGTAGCAGCAAGATTTAGCTCAATCTTTAGTAAGTTTTGGGAGAGAC